GGATGGATTTTCGTCCAGCACTTCAAACAGGCTTCGTAAGGTGGCTTCAGACTCAGGTCTTATCGTATGACGGCCAGGAAAGAAGTAAAGGTTTTTAAGCACCATTACTTCGTCTTTTTTTAAGTGATTGATTTCGTTTTTTATAGCAACGGTGCCTGCCGATTCCTTGGCTGTTTGTGTTGGTTTGGCCATTTTTACAGGCGGCGGTGGTGCTGCAACCGGCTGCGGTAGCGAACCAAGTTGTAGCGGTTCAGCAACGGGTGCCGGTGCATTCATAACAATATCTACACGGCGGTCGCGGGCAAAGCCGTCATCCGTGCTGGTAGCGCCGCGAATCACTTTGCCCTTGCCAATGCAAACGGTAATGTTTTTTTCCGGAAAGCCATAGTTCATCAGGAAGCGCTTTACGGTACGGGCCCTATCTTTAGAAAGCTTATCATTATAGGTATTGCCACCCACATAATCGGTATAACCTACAATCTGTATGGCCTGACTGGCGCGGAGTACATCTTTGTATATATAGCTGGCTACCTGGTCCTGGACACCTGGTGTCATGATCGATTTGCCGGTTGCAAAATAGACGTGTACTGTATCGGCTGTTTGTGCATTTACCATGCAGGGCAGCAGGCAATAAAAGAGAATAGCAACCTTGTTCATACAAAAATTATTAGGGAGCGTAACGCGCTGGCAAGTTAATATATTCTGGCTGTAAAGACGAGGATGTGCTCCGTGTGCTGATACCATCCATTTACATACATCACATTCACGCAGGCTGATCTTGTTAACTATGAGTTTGTTAGCAGTTGGCATGGTTTTAATAGCATTTAACCGAATTAAAAACTGTTTTATGAAATTTGCTATAATCTCAGGATTTATAGGTTGCATGATGTCCTTACAGGCAAGCGCGCAAACCCCCCAGGAAGGCAATATCCGTTTTAATAAAGCGGACCATAATGGCGTAACAGCGGAATACAGCTCCGGAAAAACCATCACCGAGCAGGCCCTCGTTAATAAACTGGCGGCTGCGGGACTGACCAACAAGAGTAAGAAGAAAGGCTTTATAATGTACAAAGAAGTAAGTTGGCCAGCCATCACCACTGATAAGGTGGACGTGTATGTAAAGGTTGGTGGCAATAAGAAGAAGTCCAATGTGTCGTTGCTGGTAGCTAAGGGGTATGACAACTTTATTACCTCTGCGAGTGATGCACAGGCAGTAACTAATCT